CTCTCTCTCTCTCTCTCTCTCTCTTAAACCCAGGGAGCACTGAACTATATCTTCATCCTTTTTTATCTATTTAATTTATTTTGAAACAAGGTATCACTCAGTTTCCGAGCTGACCTCCAATTTGCGGTTCTCCTGCCTCAGCTTCTGGAATAGCAGGAATTACCAGGTATCTCGGTTACTTTCTTGTTCTGGGACAAAATACATGTCACCCACATGTTAAAGGAAAAAAGGTTTATTTTAGCTCACAGTTTATAGAAGTTTCAGTCTGTAGTTAGCTGATTCCAAGGCAGGGTGGCCTGGCATAGGGGCGTGGCAGAGGTGAAACAGCCCATGGCAGGGTAAACAGGAAGCAGCAAACAGCTAGCCCTCCTTTCCCTTTTATCCCATCAAGGCTACAAGCCTATTGGATGGGGCCATCCACAATAGGGTGGGTCTTCCCATTACCCACACCCAGAACTATGCTAAACCAATTGGTGGACTAATTTAGTCACAGCCTTAACACCCTAGATCCAGCCACCTCCAAAAGGCCCCACCTATGAGCACCTGAGACTTTGAGGGGATATCTAGATACAAGCCATATCAATAGACATGGCCCACATGCCAGGCTCAATACAATATTTTTTTGATGAATCAGTGAATGAACATGTTGCTAGCAAAAGGAAACAAATTTATTTTGGGGACTTTCTTAAAGGACAGGTAAGAGTCCTCCTGGTTTTATTTAAGGACATTGGTTGTCTTAGGTACAGGCAGATAGGGTCTAGGACCAAAATTCATCTTGGTTGCCAACTGTACAGTACCAAGTTCCCCCAAATCAGATTTCCAAAGACCCAAGCAATCTGAGAAGGGGGCGGGGGTGTGCAAAGGGAATCAGCACCAAACTATAGGAAAAAAATGCAAAGTCATTCTTCAATTTTAAATTTTTTCCATTATTTCCATTCTGTGGTTTAGTTTGACCTTTATAGTCTAAACTATAATCACAGGAGGGAAGAAGGCACTTCGGTGAACAAAGGCATTTTCCTCGTGACGCCACTGTAAGTGGAAAGTTGCCCAGATCGCGTGATTTTATTTTATTTATTTATTTTTTTGGCACCTGGAGATTGAACTCAGGACCTTGCCCTTGCAGGGCAAGCGTGGTGCTGCTGAGCTAAATCCCCAGCCCTCGAATTGTATGATCTTAGAATTCAGAGAAAACTCTTGAGAGTCTGCACCCAGAGACAGGGTGGCTGCCTTAAAGTCCCAAACATACTTCATTTTATGTTGCTTCATAGATGCTGCTGTTTTCCACAGATTGAGACCTCTCTGTGACAACCTTGCATCCAATAAGACCCCTGGCATCATTTTTCCAACAGCTCAGATGATAGTTAACATTTTTAAAGCAATATAGTATTTTAACTGTTATGTGTGTTGCTGTTTTAGACATAGTGCTACTCGCACACTTAATAGACTATAGTATGATGTAAACATAACTTTTTGGGTCCTGAAAATCAAACCATTTATACAATCAGTTTTATAGTCATATTTGCTTTCTTGCAGTGGTCAGCACCTCTGAGGCCACCTATCAATTTAATGAAACATAGGTCAATGAGTATCTTAGCCCTTTGCCATTATTTATTATTTACTAACATATAATATCTGATGTGGAATAGGGGTGCATTTCTGCATGTTTGACATTTATGTAGTGAAGGTTCTGAAAGCAAATGGGCCTGGAAAACTTTCAGACTGGGCCCTGCCTGCTCACTTTCTCTCCACAAGAAGAAAGTCGTAGCCAGGTCTCTCACCACACCCTCTGTCTCCTCACTGAGATTTCACCATAAGAAAGAAGCTGCCATCCCAGCAAGTGGCCATGCAAGTTTGCACCCAGGTAATTCTGAAGTCAAAGACTCTGTGGCTGGTTTAGAAGAGACGTCTTTTCTAAATGTTTCCTGTTTGACCCCTTCTTATGGCTTGTGTCTAGATACCCCCTGTACACACAAAGCCTCATGCAGTAACAGGTGGGACTTTTCAGAGGTGACTAGATCTAGGATGTGTGATGCTGGGATTAAGTGTGTAATGCTGGGATCCAGGGTGTGTGATTACTAAATTAGTCCACTGATTGGTTTGGCCTAGCTCTGGGAGTGAAGGCCCACCCTGGGTGTGAGTGCTACCTGCCATTAGGCATGTAGCTTGGATATAAGATAAAGGACAGAAACAGGGCTGCTGTCGTTATTTGTCACGTGCTGCTTCTTTACGACTTTGTTGCTGCCTTTTGCCTGACGTGAACTGTTTTCCTCGGCCATGTCTCTCTGCCATAGCACCCTCTCTTGGATCAGCCAACTATGAACAACTTTGAACTGAAACCTCTACAAACTGTGAGCTAAATAAACCTTTCCTCCTTTAACTTGAGGTATCAGGCATTTTGTCTTGGCAATGAGAAAAATCACTAAGACACCCATTTTCTGTTAGGCACAGGTGACATCCTGTCTGAGGTCATTATGAGGAGCAGAAGGGATTTTCTCCTACAGGTGTTTTTAAAACTCGGCCAATTGCTTTGAGTGGAAAATAATTAGGAGTGTTTTGGAGAAAGAGAAACATTTTTTTTTCCAGAAAGAGCACAGCATGAGGAACAACTGTGGTGTAACTTCACCACACTAATAACGCTGGGTCCTGATAGTCTTACACCATGCTGAGCTTAAACAGTGAGCCCCAAAAGAATGTTGAAGAAAACTCTTCTGGGTACTGCAATTGTATATAAGATAATCTTGCTTAGAGCAAAGCAGCATCAATATCTATTACTTAGAAACAATCGGCAGCTGCTAGACCACAATGAGACACAGTCCTACTCCACTGTGTTTTGTGAGTCCAGGTATTTTTTTTAAATGGGCCAACTTCTTCTCTTTCTGGAATCTTGTCACTGTCATTGTCATTGAAGTCGCCGGTAACTTGCCATGACATAACAACCGATCAGCTTCAGGACCATGGCTAATAAATTGGTAGAAAACCACTAATTGAGACATAACCTTCAACTGTGGGAGGGGACAACGTGCAATTCAACGCGTGGCACACACAGTGCAGAAGCCTCCATCACCACCAAGCTGGCTGTGGCTTTCTTGAAGCGAATCCGGGCATCTGGTACCATAATGGAGCATGAATTTACAGCAACAGAGATGTACGAGGGAGATTAAAGCTTCATCTGTAAGGACATACTGCGTGGCAAAAAACAACAATGATGGCATTTTCTGCTTCGTATGATGAGAAAGGCAATCCCTTTTGGTAGAGTGTGGGCTCCCTCTGCTGCTGGCAGGAGACTCCAGGCGCTTGGGGCTCTGTGGACACTGGAGCAGAGACGGTGACCCTTCCCGAGAAGGCTCAGGTGGTGCTGACAGGGACGGAGGGACCAAGTGGCTGTGTAGGCACTGGCCCTGTGGGATCATGGAACCGTTGTGCTGTGCTGCTGCAAGAGGCAGCAAGAAATAAAAGTAATGGAAAGGCACAGAGAATCCCCAGAGTGTACTACTGTATCGCTCGCATGTGGACTGAGACACGTCACAGAAGCCGTGCTGAGAGGCGCCTGCCCAGAGTGCCCAGGCCTTGCCTCCTTCCTTGGCCCAGTTTCAGACTATGGCACTGTTTGTCCTTCCTCTCCCTTTCCTCTTTCCCTGTTCTCCTCCCTTCCCTCTCCTTTTCTTGTCCTCTGCACAGCTGCTGTGGACGCTCCAGAACCGTGCCAACAATTTTGCTAGTTTGCCGGGTTGTGCCCTGCTCAGGAATCCCACTAGCCGCTCTGTGCAGTGCTCAAGAGGCTGCTTCCTTCAGGAAGTCTCCCCAGTCCGGGCCCAGACTCCCACCACCAGTTCTCCTCGGACAGTTCTTCGCAGCCAAAGGACATTTTGATGTGGCCACTCCAAAATCAGAAATATTTGATGCCACAACTCTGATGTGTTCATTCAGCCAAACCAAAAAAAAAAAAAAAAAAAAAAA